CTGAGAGGTGTATCACAAATGCTGGAGCAAAAAAACTCCCTGAGTAGTAGTCCTACTTCAGCATGACTGAGGACACAACCAAAGAGGAATTCAAGGAAACAGAGCTAACAAAGCTTATGGAACTAAAAAACAAAAATACACACATACAACTGAGCATATAAAACAGCAACAGAATCAAGAGAAAGAAAATACGTGGCAACTATAATTAAAACAGAAAATTCACCAAGTTGAATGAAAAATATAATCTAGAACCTCAAAAGTCAACAACAGAAGCAACAGAGAGAATTAATGAACTTGAAAACACAATGTTGGAGAACACTCAGAACAATGCAGAGGGAAAAACTTTTTTTAAATGACAAAGTGAAGAGCCCTTTAGCTAACTGGAACAAAATTCCAAAGCAACAATCTGATACTACACCTGTAGCAACTTGAAAAAGAGAAACAAAGTTAGAAGGAAGGAAATTAAGGGTGGCAGCAAACAGATCCAAGACAGTGCAAAAGGAAAAAAAAAAAATTAAAGAAACTAAGCTGGCTCTTAAAGTATATAAAACAAGCCTCTAGCTAGGGGAACAAAAAAAAACATGAATAAACTCACAAATGTAAGAGGGGAAATCACCACAGAGAGCACAGAAATACAAAGCATCATGTGAGATTACTATGAACAACTATATGCCAGTAAAATTTAATAACCTTGAAGAAATAGTTAAGTTTCTAAATCAGTACAGTCTGCCGAGACTAACCCAGATGAACTGAACAAACTGGTTACAAGCATGGAAATTAAATTGCCCCCCAAAAAAGTAGAACAGCTTTACAAATGAACTTTATCCAATCACTAAAGAGAAATGTCTATCTTTCTCTGATTGTTTTAAAAACAGACAATTGAAGAATCAACAAAAATAACTAGCAAATCAAATTCAACAGTATACCACAAGGGTTAAAGGATAATAATACTATTATATACCAGGATTTATCCCAGGGATGTAAGGATAGTTAAATATACCTAACTCAATGTACTACATTACATCAACAATAAAAATAAAAATCACAGCATCAACAGATGCAGAGAAAGAATTTGGTAAGATTCAGCACCCATTAATAATACTCTAAACAAGATGGGAACTGAAGGAGGCTACCTCAATAGGATAAAGGCCCTGTGTCAGAAATCCACAGCTAATACTTGATGGTGAGAAACCATTACAATAAAAACAAGACAAGGACGTCCAGTATCACCACTCTGCTTTAACTTAGTGTTCAGAGGCTGTGGCCAGACCAATGGGGGGGGGGGGGGAGGAAATAAAGGGAATCTAATTTAGAAAAGTAGTTACACTATTGCTATTCACAGATGATATGTTATATACGGAAAATCCTACAGATTCCACTAAAAATTTATTAGAGGGCCCTCCCTGGTGGCACAGCAGGTTAAAGCACAGCACTAAGAAGCTAAAGCCACATGGCTGTCCTGCCTAACATGTTCTATGAATGCAATCCCAAAATACTTTTTTTCAAAGACAAAATATTGAAATTTATAGATAGCCACCAAGGACCTCGATTTATGAAAGCAACCCTAATAAAAAGGGAGGGAAATGGAGGTATGACATTACTGGACTCAAACTCCCTCTATGGGAACAGTACTGAAAACAGTATGGTATTGGCACAAAAACAGCCGCATGGACTGATGGGACAAAATCAAACCCCAGAAATAAGTCCTCATGCAGACCGCCACCTACTCTATACTAATGCAGCTAGGTCTAAGTGGGAAAAGGACCGTTTCTTTGATAAACTGTGCCGGGGAAAAAGCCACACATAAAACAATGAAGCCCAAACACAAAAGTAAAGTCCAGACGAACTAGAGACTTAGGTATACGACCTGCAACAATAAAATATATGGAAGAAAACACTGGCAACATTTTTCGTAACATCAACAATAAATAACACTTTTTGGTGACTCAACCCCTAAGCAAGGCAAACAAAAGTATAAAACAAGTGTGGCTGCCTCAAAAGTTTCCATAGAGAAAACAATTAAACAGCTGGATGGGAGAAAATATGTACACAATATAACTGGTAAGAAATTGGTAGCTAAGACAAATTCATGCAATTCAATAATAAAAAAAAAACAAGCAACCTAATTAGTAAGTGGATGACGGTTATGAAGAGACAATTCCCCAGAAAGGCCATTGGGAAAGTCCACGGCGCATGGAAAACGCCCACTGTCCCTTCCAGGAAGAGGTGCTGCTTCAGGCCCGCAGTGGGAGACCATGTCCCGCCCAGAGAACGGCACACTGAAGACCCCAACTAGTGCTGCGGAGGGTGTGGTGAAGGAGGAGCCCCGTAGCACGCTGGTGCTCCCAGTCTGGAAAGCAATGTGGATCTACCTTGAAAAACTGAAAATGGAAGCAGTCTGACCCAGAAATCCCACTCTTGGCCCAAGGCCAAATACCATGAACCCATCGACACAAACCCACGGTTAGCACTGTCCCCAGCAGCGCTCTTCACTATAGCCAGCACAGGGAAGCGCCTAGACGTCCATCAACACTCCACTGCCAAGACGCACATTCAAGCCATGGAGGGCTGTAACCACAGCAAAGGACAAAGTGCGTCACTGGCAACAAGATGCAGGGCGTCTGGAAGGATCTGGGTGGTAAACACGTCAGAACAAAGACACTCACGCTGGACGTTCACTCAACAGACCATTCAGAAACTGTCAAACAGGCCAAAAATCTAGTGGACGTGGATAAACTCCACGAGGGCTCTGCGGTTAGAAAAACGTGAATGTGGTTGGCCATAAAGCATCAGGAAACAAGAAGCACTGGTGAGCATGTGGAGAGGGTGCCCCCCACCCCCAATCACTGCTCATTGGTACAGCTGCTAAGAAACACTACGGAGATTCCTCCAAAACGGGTGGCGCTATCCGATCCAGCAGCCCACGACTGGGAGCACACTCCAGGCAAGGGATCTCGAAGACATAATCGCACACCCAAGTTCATCAGCGTTATTCACCATAGCCAAGGGATGGGAGGAAAGGGTTTTAAAAAGGCGGCATAAAGACATAGGGAACATGACAGCCTTGAAAAGAAGGAAACCCGCGGGGCGCCCGGAGGACGCGCTGCAGACAGCACGCCTCAGCACGATTCCACTGCTGTGCGGGGTCTGCAGTCGGGGCCATAAAGCAGTGGGATGGGACTGGCAGGGCCGGGGAGGGCCGGGGAGGAGATAAGCTGTTGGAGGGTAAAGAGCTCCGGCCTGGCAAGATGTGCAAGTTCTGGAGATCTGCTGCACACAAGGTGAATATACTGAACACGCCCGCCTGCATTGTTAAAAACGGTTAAGGTGGTAAATGTGCGATATGTCTTTAGCAATTAAAAAAATAAAGGCTCCATATTACCAGAGCAAGCAGGAGAAAAGTTTGAGGAAAAGAACTGCGGGACGATGGGGGTTGACATGTCGAGCAAGCAAGCACCCTCGGATGTGGAGGCAGTAACGTGAGCTCGCTGCACAGCGGGGGCGTTCTGGCTGGAGCTGGCTGAGGTCCTGTTCTGAAGGCAGCCTCCAGATGTGCTGGAGACCCATGGGCTTTTTTCTGAAGCCTCGAGACTACACTGGCAAGAATTCATTGTGGTACCTCCACAGACATTCTGTACGGTAGAGTTATTCCCCTCAAATCGTCACCCCGCAACAGACAGTGGCGGCTGGGAGGTGGGTGGTCTCTGCAGGGCAGCTGGCCTGGGCTGGCCCTGCTCCAGGACAGAAGCGCTTCCCCGCAGGGAGCAGGAGGCGCCACTTTCCTCACAGACTCAAACGTGTGTAGCTCAGGGAGGAAAAGCCAAGCACCAGCTGCTTTGCATTCCACTTGTTCAAATAATTCCTGTCCTTTACAAATTTTAAGCTTTTTGGGTCTTTTGTGAACCCAGCAGCTAATAGAGTTCAAGTGCTGAGAATTGAGAGTACTTAGGAAAAAGGAAATGTCCCATCGTCCTACTACTGCAGACACGAGACGCCATGTGGCACAGTGACCGACACTGGTGAGCTGCTTACGAAGGCCTCAGGGGCACCCTTCCCAGGGCGGCGATCCCAAACACCTGACGCCTGTTCTGTCATCTAAGACACCTGGATTCAGAGCGCACTTTAGCTGTAGCCATAACACCCACAGATTGCAATCTGAGTGGCTCTTAGTAAATGGTGCAATTTTTATAAAAAACCGCTCACTGAAATCTCCCTACCACGTGAAACCAGAAGAGGAGTCCCACCATGCTCCTCACTCCCGTCTGAAAGTCAATAGAAACCACAATGCCACCTATCCCTTTTTCAAACAGGTCTTATGTAAATTAGCTTAGGCTAATGGGAGAGTGATCTGGGTCACGGTGAACTGAAGAGGCAGGTTGGCCAGCAAAGTCACAGGTCAAGAGGCTGCTGTGAGAATCTAGGGAATGGGGCCCTCTCTGGTGGCGCAGCAGGTCAAAGCACAGCACTGAGAAGCTAAAATCACTTCAGCACGAGTTCGATCCCCACCCCAGAGGTGAGCCACATGGTGCAACAGACCTCTCTTGACCCGCCCGCTGCTCCCCTCAGCAGTGTACTTCATCGATCTGCCTGTTCTGCTCCCCACGCTGTGTCTGGTGACTCCTCTCACCACCCCCACACCACTGGCCTGTACCCCAGTTCCGTATGCACAAATAAAAAAAAAAAAAAGAATCTAGGGAATGAAATCCTCCAATCCCTAGTAACCGAGTAGGGGCTTTACCCTCTAGGCCGGGCCTCCAGCTCTGCACCTCCCAGTCTCACTACCCCGCTCTGCATCCACTGACAGGCACATGTCAGCATCTCTGCAGATGCTGTAGTTCTTGGTTCCAAGAAGCCCCCTCTGGGTTTGGCCCAACACTCTGTTACACCACAGTGTTTACAGAGACAGCACAGCTGGCAGGACTTGGCCTCTGCCACCCTCGGCAGGGCAGTACGCATGGTGTTGACAGCAGGGTGGGGGGAGGGAGCTGCCAGGTACTTACCAGTGCTTCCCATAGAGCCAATGGCTTCCCCACGTCAGCAGGCAGACCCCGGCTGTAGTTTTCTTCCAGTGATTTCTTAGTGTCTTAAAGAACACAGTCATCTTGTCCTGATCTGATGGGCTAGCAGGGACAGAAAAAGGAAAATGTCATCCCCCAGTAATCACGTCGCCCCATTACTGTCTCCATTCTTGTGCCCTCTGTTATTCCCAGCCCTGCTCCTTTCCTCTCAAGCAGAGAACGCACCAAGAAAACTATCCAGAGGAAGTGCTGGTCGCTGTGCAAAAATTCAACTTCCTGAGCAAAGGCTTGTAAATTACAAAGAACTATCATAGATGTGATACCACGAACCTATGAAATTAACAATTTGTTTTAATGATCATATTCACCCCCCAAAGGAAGCCTATTAGTGCTTCACTAAAAAGCCAAAGCGACAACCTCTCAATCTGTTTTCTTCACAGCACTAACGTGATGATCCTCCTTCTCCTCTGCACTGGAGACAAAACTGCAGCATGTTCATCACATCACCAAACTTCTAAATAAAATTCAAAGCCAGTTCTAGCATGAAGCATTTTCCAGTCCTCTTGTTCCTGTTCAGTGCACCAACCCTGGGCAGGACCCCACTCCACTGAGAGGCACTTCACACACCCCCGCGCTCCTTGCAATGGACACGACTGACAGGCACCGATGAATCTCATGTGGCTTTCAGCGGTGGAAAGCAGCACCCCTCAGAAAATCCACGCAGACATGGGGAGAACACACAACCCCACACAGATGCAGACTGGAATAGATTTTTGTCTTCTCTTCAACATAAGGAAAGGATGCTGGGCTGAACCTGCACCAGTATGAACAAGAGTCCTGCTTAATTTGGCAAAAATCGCTGGCCCACAGTGCCTGACCACCTGGATGTCAAGAATTCTACTGAAGTCTTAACAAGCATCTCCCTCACCCCAGATGTCTCCTCTTAGTAAATTTCCACTCACTGACCCCGCGCTGCGCTGCTCTGCTCCACCCAGCTCCTTGGCTATAAAACTGCTCTGCTTCACCCAGCTCCTTGGCTATAAAACGCCACTGTTGTGTTGGAACAGAAGGTGAGTCCAGGCTCCCTCCTGCTGCAAGATGCCTATGCAGTCTATGAGCACATCAGGGGCTTCGTCCTGCTGGAATAAAGTCCACCTTATAATTCTTAAACAAGTGTCTCGAAGTGATTTTTTTTAAATCCGCTCTGGGCTAAAATTCCTCTCAAGGTAAGAAACAGCGCTATCACCAGCAGCAATGAAGCCAGTGCCAGGGAAGCCACCTTCCTGGGTATCTCTGGGACACCGTCCATCTGGTGCATGAAGGCACCCACAGGCCCATTGATAACTGAATGCCTCTGCATGGGACCTTACAGTCCTCACTCACTCGACCGGCCTTCAAAAAACACCTACAGCTGAGAGTGAAGCAAGAACGAACAAGCTGTCTCCATCTCCAGGGCGCGCAAATGGTAAATCCACAGCGTCAGTACAGCACACACTTTGTGACTGCGACACAGGGGGGAGGCTTAAGGGGTAAGTTGTGTCTGAGAACGCGCAAGTGGGCCTAACAGGCAGCAGTGGTCAGGTGGCCACAGTCAGTAGTCTTCCCGGAGGCGCCATCTTCATGCTGAAGAGGAAGTTACACAGGTGCTAACGAGAAGCATGTGCACGAAGACATAACAAGGGGTGTTTGGGGGAACACAGGCAGTAGTCAGTAATGAACGAAGAGTAAATATGGGATAGAATCTAGAACCAGAACTCTCAAGCTCTAGTGTAAAGTGGGTTAAAATGTAGATTTGTTCAAAAATCAGATCCCTGGGCATCACCCATCCAAAGGCCCTGCGTTGTTCTGGCTGAGGTACTATCAGGTTAACAAGGGCAGGCACCCCACCACACTTTAGAGAAACGATGGTTTGGAGATAAAGAATAGAGAAGGTGGGGAGGTTACGAATAGTCAGTAAGGATCCTGAGTCAATGCTAAGTGTCTTGGACTATCATGGTGAAGGGGACAAAAAAAAAAAAAAAAAAAAAAAAAAAAAAAAAAAAAAAAAAAAACACCACCTGTGGGCCCTCCCTGGTGGTGCAGTGGGCTAAAGCACAGCACTAAGAAGCTAAAGCCACTTCAGCAGGAGTTCGATCCCTGCCCGCCCCGGAGGTGACCCACATGGCGAGGCAGACCTCTCCTGACCCGCCCGCTGCTCCCTTTAGCAGTGAACTTCATTGATCTGCCTGTTCTGCTCCCCACTCTGTCTCTGGTGAATCCTCTCACTGCTTCTACACCTCTGGCTTGTACCCCAGTTCTGTATGCACAAATAAATCTAAAAAAAAACCAAAAACCACAAAAAAAAACCTTTGAAGGAATTTAACTGAGGGACAGATCATATTTGAACTGCAGAAAGATCACTTTGTAGCTGGGTGCAAAAATGGAAGAAGCTGGGCTTAGAGTCAACAGGAAGTTGTTAACCACAATGTCTAGGAAAGAAAGCAGACACAGAGAGTGGGTTTGGGAGATCTTTATAAAGTGGAAATTTGGCAGCACTTGGCAATTAATTGTAGGAGGTAGGAGGAGGAACCAAGCCAGGTTTATACTTGGACAATTGATGGGATAGTGATTTCAACCATTTGATCTGGGGCAGTAGGCTCCTGGAGAAACGCAGCTGGTGCCTTTTTAGAGATAATGAGTTTGAAAAGCTGTGGGGCATCCAAGTGGTACTGACCAACAGGGGTCTGGATTTAGCAGTTCAAAGCTAGGAGAAACTGGGTAGAGATTTGAGACTCCACGGTATGAGGGCAAGTTTGAGCACAGAGGAAGTCATCCAAGACAAGCGGACAATAGACAGATTAAGAAGCTAGAGAGAGGGCCCTCCCAGGTGGCAGGGCGGTTAAAGCATAGCCCTGAGAGGCTAAAGCCACTTCAGCATGAGTTTGATCCCCGCCTGCCCAGGAGGTGACCCACATGGCAAGGCAGACCTCTCCTGACCCGCCCGCTGCTCCCCTCCGGCCTGTTCTGCTCCCCACTGTCTCTAGTGAACCCTCTCACCACCCCTGCACCTCTGGCCTGTACCCCCAGTTCTGTATGCAGAAATAAATCTTTAAAAAAGAAAAGTCAGAGCAATCTGAGAATGGACAAGACTGTCTTGGGCCACCCACACCCTAGCAAACGTCCTCTCTGTCACAAAGAATGACCTGCTCCTTACGAGGGAACAAGCAGGCAACGGAGCCTACTGCAGGGGCACTAACTAGCCAAGGGGATCTGAGTCTAGAGTTTAGTCTCTAGCTTTATCACTTACTGGTAGTGAGCGTCAGTTACGTCATTTAGTCTATTTCCTTGTCAGAAAAATGAGTAACTGGGGTGGCTGCAATGAGCACATCTGATAGGGGTGTCAATGAGATCACACCTGATGGGGGGTGTGTATGCACCTGAAAACGTTGCTGTTATCTGTTGGCATCACAATATGCTAAAAGGAATTCTTTCTTACTCCATCTCGGCAAAAGTCTAAATGTACTTGTAAATGTTACAAGTTCAAGTTGGTACCTCTCCTGTGAAAAGCGGGGGG